GCACTGCCACTGGTTAAAGGGCATGCCTGTGTGAGTCTCATCCACACGGAACATCACCTGTGCAGATGAGAAAACTCTGTTTTCCACTGTACTCTTCCCCACTCCCTATGCAGGCAATCAGTTAGATCTGTGCCCATTGCCTGGAGGTGGGAATGAACAATAAACCACAGGGTGGAAAATAGGAGAACTTGCAAACCATCCTGGACTTTGTGTTCTAAAATTCTGAGGATTTAGGCCAGTGGTCTTCAACCTTTTTATTGCATTTCCCCTAAAAGTAGTTTGAAATACTACACACCCTCTCACATGTTGTTGTTGTTGTTGTTATGTGCCGTCGAGTCGTTTCTGACTCATAGCGACCCCATGCACAGCAGAACGAAACACTGCCCGATCCTGCGCCAGCCCCACAATCCCTGCTATACTTGAGCCCATCATCGCAGCCACCATATCAATCCATCTCGTTGAAGGCCTCCCCCTCTTTCGACGACCCTCCACCCTACCAAGCATGACATCCTTCTCCAAGGAATGGTCCCTTCTTACAACATGACCAAAATAGGTGAGACGAAGTCTGGCCATTCTTGCTTCCAAGGAGCATTCTGGCTGCACTAAATAGAGGGCGTTTGTTGAAAAAAAATATTAAGAATTTCAAGATGGCAAGAACAGGGCATTAAGCTAAGTTCAGAGCCTCTCAGAGTACAGGGTCCTATGTGGCTGCCCTGGTCGTAGATCCATGAAGTCAGCTCTGCTCTCACAAAACTGTTACCGTGCTTGGCTGCTAACAGAAAGGTTGGAAGTTCGACCTCACCCAGAAGAGAAGTGGAAGAAGATTCTGGCAATCTGCTTTCAGAAAATCAGCTATTGACAATGCCACAGAGCACAGTTATACTGTGACACACATGGGGTCACCATGAGTCAGAGTCAACTTAGCAACACTGTGTTGGTTTTTTTAAAAAAAAAAAAACTGGTATATCATACACTTGCTTTAAATATATTTTCTTCCAGTCCCTAGAACAGCATAATAAACTAATTTAATGTATGAGCAATGTATATCTTTACTCCATATGTCTTTCCAAGTCATCTAGGGTAACTGCTACTTCCTGCACTCAAGGTCTGTCAGAATGATGCCATCAGTGTCTTAGCAGATTAGCCTAATATCCACTAGAATAGTAATTTGGTCAAGTGCCACCAATGCCCCCCATGTGTATCTACTTTCCAAGTGACCATGGATGTGGGTTCAGAGGAAGGTGGCAGAAAAGGAGAGTAACTTGCTCCGGTAACCTGCTTGTGCCTTTAGGACTTGCTTGTGCCCAGACCATGTATTCTCTTGATAATGGAGGGCTTCTGGGTGCCCCTGATTTTATGACTGGATAGATCAGATAACACCTAGCTCATTACGGGCAGCTCAGGGTCACATGGTCACCTGGTGTGCCATGGCCAGGCATCCAGTCAGACCCCTGGTGGAAGCCGGGAACTATTCCTCAAAAAGGAGAATAACTGTTATGACTTCACTTTAAAATCTGATGGCAGTGAGTTTGTTTGTTTTTTGAGAGTTATAAAGGCCTAAGGTAGAAGTACTTACTCTGCAAGCTGGGCCAGTATGAGAACCTTCTCTCCTTGGATGGCTCCCCTAAAGTTGTCAGGTTTCAAATAATCCAGTAAGAGGTCAAAATAAAGTGCCTAACTGTGGTATATGTTGGGTCCCCAGTGATGCGAACAGTTCAGTGCTTGACTACTGGCCAAAAGGTTAGCAGTTTGAACCTGCCCAGAGGCACATCAGAAGACTGGCCTGGTGATGTGTTTCAAAAGGCCACAGCCTTGAAAACCCTATGAAGCAGTTTTACTCTGCACATGCAAGGTTGCCATGACGCAGAATCGATTCAATGGCAACTGACAACAATGGTATGTTACCTCTCAAATCTAAAAAAGTCCACCAAATAGTATACCTCGTTCTTAGTAATAGAAGGTATAATGTACAGCAACTTGTCTTTCATTTTGTAGCTAATATCTGAACATACCTGTAAAAATGGGGAGGTGTCTGACCTCCTTTAAATTTACCAAAGTGGAGGAGAATCAAGATCAACAACGGAAGGGTGGTTGCTACGAGGCGGAGATCAAATATGCCTCAAGGGTCCCTCCCACAGCACTCTCTACTTCTCTGTTGAATTCACTAATTTGTTGGAATGGCCACACAGAACTCACATACAATACTCATGATTATGGAGTTTATTAGAGAAATAACAGGTTACAATTCAGGATCAGAAATGACTCAGGATACAATTCGTCAATATTGTTTGTTGTTATGTGTCATCGAGTCGGCCCGACTCATAGAGACCCCTCCTTGGGTTTCCGAGGCAGTATCACTACAGAAGTAGGATTGCCCAACCTTACTTCCGAGGAGTGGCTGGTGGGTTTGAACCGCCAACCTTCTGGTTAGCAGTCAAGTGCCTTAGGCACTATGCTACCAGAGCTCCTCAATTCGTCAATAGGATACCCTTTCTCAGCAGTGCCTGCAGGCACTTCTCTCTCTGGCCTTCTGCCTTTTGGGTCTCATGCCCCCATACCCTCTTTCCTGTTCAGGCAAGTGTCACAAAGCTCTTTTAGCTCTGCCAATAGGCGCCTAGGGGCACCCCACTCTGCCAGTAAGCCTCAACTCTAAGGTGTTCAGCTCTAGCTCCATGGGTCTACAAAATTACCTCCACCACATGCCTAGAGGCACCCCACTCTGCTAGCCTTCTTGTCTGAAGGCATTCAGCTTTCTCACTCCATGGGTCTCAAAACCTACTGTGATATCTCCCACTAGGTATCCTGCTGGGTCTCCTGCCAAGTCTCCTGGTTCAGTTCCCCCTCTGTCTCCTGGGCTGAGGAGATTCAATGCAGGAATCTTAGATCCAAAGGACACACTCTATCCTTGGCTCATATCTTGATGGTACTGCAATCTCCCTTCCTGCCTCTGGGATGGCTCATTTTAAGCATAGCAAGATGGCAAAAATAACCAATCCCCATGTTAGGGTTCCATACACCTTATTTGCATAATACCACCCCCACAAGAGTACCATGCACCTTATTTACATTATTAGTAAGCTATCCAATCCCCTTGGTGGGCTGCAATGCACTTCACATTTGCGTAGTTTCACCCAATCGTTTGGTAGGAGTTACAAAGACTATGGCTAGAAAGGCCACATTAAGTAATTCACTGCACTACAACACCCCAAAATCCCTACACAGTTCAATAAGTAGATAAGTCCCTGTATTCATGGAATTTATGCCAGCCTTCTGACATTTAGGTTTTACCGAGTCATCTAGGGGTCATTTGCTACTTCCTGCTCTCAAGGTTTGTCAGGATGATGTCATGAGTATCTTGGTAGATTAGCCTGATATCCATTGGAATGGTGATTTAGTTTAAAAATAAAAAATCTGTAAACTAAATGTGTCAAGTGAGTGACATACTCCTGAAGCAATATAGTTAAGGTTTACTACTACCCCTACCAGAGGAGCTCTGGTAGTATAGTGTCTAAGGTACTTGACTGCTAACCAGAAGGCTGGCGGTTCAAACCCACCAGCCACTCCTCGGAAGGAAGGTTGGGCAATCCTACTTCTGTAGTGATACTGCCTGGGAAACCCAAGGAGGGGTCTCTATGAGTCGGGTCCGACTCGAGGGCACATAACAACAACAACAACTACCCCTACCAAGTGAACGAAAATTGTCTCTGTCGTTTGATGTAGAAAAAAAAGCATTGACGAGACCTACAAGTAAGGAGCTCTGGTGGTGTAGCAGTTAAGGCATTTGGCTTAAAAATGTTCTTGGTTCAAACCCACCGGCCACTCCTGGGAAGGAAGGCTGGGCAATCTATTTCCCTAGTGACACTGCCTCGGAAACCCAAGGTCCCTGTGAGTCGAGTTCAACTCGACGGTAGAATTGGGTGGACCATATACTGCAAATAAAGATGTAGATGATACATTCGTCCATTTTAATTCAGGTCATCATCCATGAGTCCATGTGTTCTGGCCAGATGATGCTAAGCGATTATTTCTCCTTTTGTAGCCTCGATTTTCTCCGCTGCAAATTAGGAATGAGCATACCTGCCTCACTGTATTATTGAAGGTAGTCAGATGATGGGTGTCAAAGTACCGTAGCACTATAGACAATTATTAAGTGCAAGGAAGATGGGGCAATCTACTCCATAGTGATACTGCCTCGGAAACCCAAGGAGGGGTCGCTATGAGTAGGTCGGACTCGACGGTACATAACAACCACCACCACCACCAACCTGTGCAAGGAGCCCTTGTGGCGCTGTGGTTAAAGCGTTCCAGAGCTAACCAAAAGGTTGGCAGGTCGTAACTCACCAGCCGCTCCACGGGAGAAAGCTGTGATAGTTTACTTGTGATCGCTTATGTCGTAAAGATCACAGCCTTGGAAACCCTATGGGGCAGCTCTACTCCGTCCTGTAGGGTCGTTATGAGTCAGAATGGACTAAATGGTAAGGCGTTTTTTTGATTCCTGTGCAAGGAGCCCAGGTGGTGCAGTGGTTAAGCGCCGAGGTGCTAACCAAAGGTTGCTCTTGCAGAAGACACATGTGGCAGTCGGCTTCTGTAAAGATTACATTCTAGGAAAACCTATGGGGCAGTTCTACTCTGTCCTGTAGGGTCCCTAGGAGTCGGAATGGACTCCAAGGCAACAGATTTGGTTTCTTTTAATGTACAGCACAGTTACTACAAGTATACATCCTCTCCTCTCACAGGGCGCCTGCCTAGGATCCCGAGAGGAGGGAGGGCGTCTCCCCACCAGGCTTCTTCTCCTGAGGAATTCTCTGCCCTTATGTAAGATGGCGTAGACGGTTTCAGCGGCTAGTGCGGCGGCGCGGACTCCTCGTGCCCTCTGACCTGCTGGCAGCGGACGGAGGGGAGCCGGGCGCCGCCATATTGGCTGTTGTCCTGTGAGGGGAGAGGCGGCGGCGGCGGCGGCGGCGGCGGGAGTAGAGCGAGGTAGTGGCGCTAGCAGCAGCATGACTCGGAGGCGGAGCAGGCCGAGCGGCGGCGCGGGCCGGCGCGAGCGTGTGCGGATCCCGGGGCCGCAGAAGCCCCAGGCGCCGGAGCCCCCGCCGCCGCTGAGCCTGGAAGCGGGAGTGGGTGCCGAGCCCCCGGAGACGCCAGCGACGGTGGAGCTCGACCGTGACGGCCTCAGGGAGGAAGACGAACCCAAGCTGGCGCCCGGCCCGCAGGTAGGAGCGAGCGAAGCGATTCCGGCCACACGGGCGCTTTCGCATCCCTGGAGCGGGGTTGGGGCCAGGGCGGGGTTGGGGATGGATCATCCTCCCAGGGCTGGGGCTGGAGCCTACCCTTAGGTCTGAGGCTGAGGTTTTCTCCTCCAAGGCGGGAGTGGAGTCTGGACCCTTCTTTCCAAACCCGAGGCACAGCCCATTCTCCCGAGACTGAACTGAAGGTGCCACCTCCCGCCCTGTCGCCTCTAGGCTGGAGCAGAGACTAAACGTTCAGCTCATACACCTACATTGGGGCTGGCTCTGATCCTGAGGCCACAGCTCAGTACTCTGCCCATCACCCCCCTCTGGGCCCACCTGCTCCCCCACCCACAGGCCTTGGGAGGGGCATCTTTGGGCAATGGGCCCTGGAAGGCTGGCTGCAGCCTCTTACCTCTCCCTCTGGGAGCGGCTCCACCCCTTCTCCTGCATTGCCTGCAGCCACTGCCCCCTTAGCAGCTGTGCCCCCAGCATTTGTCTCCTGGGGCCTCCCTCTGCCTGTTCAGCAGAGCAGTTGGTGCAGCCAGCCAAACTGACTACCCAGAAGACTATTTGGTGGGGCTCCTGCACTGAGGTGGAAACCCAGCAAAACCTGTCCTTTCTCCCCTCCCTACCCCAGACCACCAACCCTCAGGTCCCTGGGCTTAGCAAATCCTGCTGAGAGTGAGCAGTACGAGAATTCCCCCAAAGCTTCCAGCTTGCCACCTGGAGGAAGGTCACTTTTTCTTTTGAGCAAAGGAGATAATGGGAGGCACCCTGCCAGTGTTCACTGAGAGGCCTGGGAGACATGAGCCACAGTTGCTCTGGGAGGGTTGTGGCATCCTGGGATGGGTGGCTCTCCCTAAGCTTGCTCTGACAAAAGAGTTTTGAGTTGGTCTTTTGGCTGAGCCTGCCGAAGAAGGCAGGCTCCTGCAGGAGACTTGGAGGGTCGGATGCAGCGCCGGATGAGGATGAGGCGTGGCGGAAGATGCGTTTGGCTCTGCAGACACTGCATCGGGCAGCAGGGGACTCTGGGAGGCTGGTGCAGCCAGAAGGCATGGCTCTTGACAGCTTTCTAGTAGAATCTCTGGAATTGTGCATGTGAGTGGGGATGTCATTTGGGGTACCATTCCCAAAAAGCCTTCCCTGATCTCCCCAGTTGCGTCAGGTGCCCCCTCTGCACCCACAGCCCTCTGTGCTTCCCTCTGGTAGCACTCCCCATTCTGTGATGAAACGTCTGTCGATGTGTCTGTTCCCTGCTCTGGACTGTGAACTCCACAAGGGCATGGACTGTGTCATCTCTCTCTGATCTTCCATGCCTAGTCCAGGGCTTTGCTGACATAGAGTAGAAAATAACTAGGTGAATGAGAGAGATAATTAATTAGTCGAGAATCTGTGCTTATTGTAACCCAATTTTGATGCTGGTATCCTTTGTGTCTCAGATCACAATAAGAAGGTTTTTAATTAATGAATATGTCACACTTACTGAGTGTCAGAATCATCATCTTCCTGCCTACCTCCAGTTCCTACCCTGGCTGAGATTGGTTTAAAGGATACTCAGATCCCCCCAGGGTTGGACCCCACCCCCACTGGGTCTGGGGTGGAACCCTGAGACTGCTTTGCTCTCTAGCCTTCTCTTTGCTTACTCTGCCATGTCTTCACCCTCTCCCCTAGTGTTGTTCTCCAGAAGAAGGGAGTGGGGGAATGGAAAGCCAGGAAGCTGTTGTCTTCTCCTTACCATTCTCCCATTCGGTCCATACAATACTTTAGAGTCCCTGCCACTTCTGGTTCCACTTAGCCAGCCTATGGTCTTCATTGTATAGAGGAGCCAAAAAGCTTAAATGATGACTTACCCATTCCAGTTTTATTTGGGACACAACCTTCCCAAGAACTATGGCTTGTCTGATGTCTAGATTCCTACCGTGTTCTGTCTACTCCACTGCTTGACTTGCCCATTCATTCATTTATTCATGCCAGGCACTTTACATATCTTACTTCTAATCTTCCCACCACCTTAGCATTCAGCACAATTGTAAGGAATTAATCATTGGTGTAATTGTTTGGTTTTGCTACATAAACTCTTGAGAATGCAGGAACCATGTGAGTCACCATTGTACCCTTATGCCTGGTGATTAACAAATGTTAATGAATAAGCTGAAGGATATAAATATTACTAGCCCATTTTACAGATGAAGAAACAGAAACTCAGACTAAATATTTTACCCAGAGTGACTCCCATTATAAATTTCAGGCAAAAAAAAAAAAAGATACCCTTGTATACTTTGGGGAATTTAATAAGGCTTTTTTTTTTTTTTTAACTTAGTAAAATTAAAGGCCACAAACTGACACTGTCCTTCCGGATTGTGCCCCACTTTCTTGCTGAGAGAACTGAATGCCAGAAACAGACTTTTGTATTCTGGTGAAAAGCACCCTCTGAAAGGGTTGGGGTCAGTCAATGCTCTACTCACAAGCATCCTTTGGTAATGATCATCTGGCTTCCACCGCCACTTGTAACCCTGTCTTAAGTTCACAGAGTGGGAAAGTAACCTGAGAATCAGTGTCATATACTTAACATAAGACAAAGGTCTTAAAACAAAGGACAACTTCTAGTCCAGTTGTGTTCTCATGTAGTATTTGGTTTAATTTGAGCCTGCATTTTAAAAATCAAAAGATTTCCCAGAGATCTGGATATGTGCCTTCTCTTAAAACTCTGAACATCTAGTGATGCTGAGCCCACATCCCCTCTTACCCCACACTCCACCCCACCTCACAATAATCTGCAGTCTTTGTGTCACATCTGCCCCTTTTAGATAGAGAGTGTTCCCTAGGTCATTCCTCTTCTATCCAGTTCCTTTCACTCTTTGTATAACCTGTACAGTTTAATAGGAACCCTGGTGGCTTAGTGATTAAGTACTTGACTGCTAACTGGAAGGTCTGTGGTTTGAACCCACCAGCGACTCAGTGGGAAAAAGATGTAATCTGCTACTGAGAAGATTTACAGCCTTAGAAAGTCTATGGGGCAGTTCTACTCTGTCCTGTAGGGGCCTATGAGTCAAAATTGACTTAATGGCAACAGTTTTGGTTCCGTTTTTTGGTACACATTTACGTGCAGGACCCTGAGCTAATTGGGACCCCTGAAGTCCTCATTTCCAGTTGTTTCAGCTACTAACCCACATTGATCTGTTCACTAAGAACCCAGGAACATACCCACACCACCATCCCTTTACTTCTCCAGAAAACCAGAATAGCTACTGCCTTATTAGCAAGGGAAAAAAAAAACTTAATAATTAGTTGAAGGAAGCACTGGGAAATAGTATTTAGTGGTTACAAACTTTGGGTTGAGCTCACACATAAGCCTCCTACTTTGTAATTCTGGGCAAGTTTCTTCACCCCTCTGAGCCTCCTTGGCAACTACACAAGAGAATATGAAGCTTTCCACATACAAAGAGGCTGTGCTCAGGTGGCCTAAGTATTCTCACCTGCTCACTCCGGCTCGCTGTTGTTAAATATCTCTTGAGCCCCTCAGTTTTGTAATCCAGGTGCATACTTAGTAACCCACCCCCGACCCAGGAGATTGCTAGAATGAAACCAGCAGTTGGTGGGAGCTGAATTTACCCTACCCTTCCCCACCTCTTGTTCCTTTCCACCTCCAATCTCTCCACAACATCCCCTAGGATTTGGGTCAGTCTAGTTTGAAGGGACTCTAGAGATCTTGATCTCCCACTGCTGAGAGTAAACCTTGAATCTGCTTCCTCGAGGAATTGGACCAAAATATCAGTCAGTATCTTTATTAAAATCATCTCATTATGTTTAATTCATTCAGCAAGCATTAAACTACCTCTGTGACAAGGCCTTTGTTAGGGGTACAAAGATGAATGAGATAGTAGTCCCTACCCTGCCCCCCTACCCTGAATCCTGCCTGCCTAGCCTCTGCCAGTTTCATGACATCACAAGGTCTCAGCCACCAGACTTTTTTAGCAAGCCAGGAGACTCACTATGTAGAAAAGCCAAAAAGCTTTTGAAGATAAGACTTAATTCAGATTTTTTAATTTTTTATTTCCTTAACATATCCCAGAGAAATAAGCTTTATTACCATGTCTGATATCCAGATGGACCTGGATTAGGATCCTACTACTTTCACTTCACTGCACCTAGACTTTTTGAGAGCAAGGACTATGCTTTATTCACTTTTTTAATATTGTGCATGATCCTTAGGTGCTTAATAAATGTCTTAAACCAAATTATAGCAAAAGAAATAAGGTAGGTTTCTACCACTTTGTTCTTACTTGCCCCCACTGCTTGTCTAGGCTGGCAGCCATTCATTCCCTTAAGCCATACATTGCATACAGGCACTCCATAAGCTTCCTTTTGCCTGATGTCCGTGTATTCTGTAATCACTAACCAACACCTGATCTACGCCAGTCCCTGTGCTAGCTGAAAATACAGAAGTGAATCAGATTGGTCCCTACCCAAAAGGAGTTTATGGTTTAGCAAAAATGTATATAACTAACTGCAATAATACTAGATAAGGGTATAGCATCAGCTTCCTCCGAGTTAAGGTTTAAATCCTATATCCTAGCAAGTGGCCTTAGGTAGTATTTCTGCCTCTTATGGTTTCTCACATATAAAGTGACAGTGATGCCAGTCTCACACAGTTAATGTTGTCGTTGTTGTTATGTGCTGTCGAGTCAGACCCGACTCATAGCGACCCCTCCTCGGGTTTCCGAGGCAGTATCACTACGGAAGTAGATTGCCCCATCTTCCTTCCGAGAAGTGGCTGGTGGATTTGAACTGCCAGCCTTCTGGTTAGCAGTCAGGTGCCTTAACCACTATGCTACCAGAGCTCCCACAGTTAATATTAAAGTTAAACAAGTAATGCATGCAAAGCATGTAGTACAAATAGCAGCTACAATTATGATAAACGTTTGGTGCCAAGAATGCACAGATGTGATAACCTAGATAAGGATGGACTAGAGAAAGCATCT